GACTGACTACTGCACCCGTGCTGGCTCTACCGAGTGGATCAGGAGGGTATACAGTTTATAGTGATGCCTCCTATCTGGGCCTGGGTTGTGTCCTGATGCAGCATGGAAAGGTTATAGCATATGGGTCTAGACAGCTAAAGAATCATGAGAAGAACTATCCTACCCATGACTTGGAGCTTGCCGCAATCATACACGCCTTGAAAATCTGGCGCCATTATTTGTATGGAGAGACCTTTCAGATCTACACCGATCATAAGAGCTTGAAGCACATCTTCACTCAGAAGGATCTCAACATGCGTTAGAGAAGGTGGATGGAACTCCTCAAGGACTATGATTGTGACATCCTATACCATCCAGGTAAGGGCAACGTAGTAGCCGATGCCCTCAGCAGGAATAGTGCAGGCACCCTAGCCCATCTGATGGTTTCAGAATGCAGGTCCATTGGGGCTACGCAGCAGGTTCGACTGCGAGATCTGAAGAGGGCCACATGTTTGAGCCACCTAGCAGTCCAACCCGAGTTAATCCAAAGAATAAAGGAAGCCCAGTCAATCGACCCCGCCCTAGTAACCCGCAAGAAGGATGCAGAACAGGGAGTGAACTCAGAATTTCAGATCTCTGCCGACGGATTGATTCGTTTCAAGGACAGAATGTGTGTCCCAGACGACAATGAATTAAAAAGAGACATCATGACAGAGTCCCATAGTTCAAGGTTCGCCATGCATCCAGGGAGTACAAAAATGTACCAAACTATGCGACCCCGATTCTGGTGGAATGGGATGAAGAGAGATATAGCCGACTTTGTATCTAAGTGCTTGGTATGTCAGCAGGTCAAAGCAGAACATCAACGCCCAGGGGGGTTGCTTCAGCCTTTACCGATTCCAGAATGGAAGTGGGAACACATCACCATGGACTTCGTATCGGGACTACCCAAGGCACGATCGGGACACGATGCCATATGGGTAATTGTTGACCGACTCACTAAGTCTTCCCACTTCCTGGCCATCAGAATGACTGATTCGTTGGACAAGTTGGCAAGAATGTATGTCCGGGAAATAGTCAGACTGCATGGGGTCCCAGTAACAGTGGTATCCGACAGGGATCCCAGATTCACTTCTCAGTTTTGGAATAGTTTCCAGCAAGCTATGGGAACAAAGCTGTCCCTCAGTACTGCCTTCCACCCCCAAACCGATGGACAATCAGAGAGGACAATCCGTATGCTGGAGGATATGCTCCGAGCTTGTGTCCTTGACTCCGGAGGCCATTGGGACGACCATCTACCCCTGATAGAGTTTGCCTACAACAACAGTTACCAAGCAAGCATCGGCATGGCCCCATACGAGGCGTTATACGGGCGTCCGTGCAGGTCACCGATTTGTTGGGAGGAAGTGGGCGATAGAAGATTGTTTGGTCCGGATTTAGTGGAAGAAACCACGTCCAAGATAGTTAAGATCAAGAAAAACATCCAGACAGCTCAGAGTAGGCAGAAGAGCTATGCTGATACCCGGAGGAGAGACCTGGCCTTTGAGAAAGGTGACCGGGTGTTTCTTAAGGTCACCCCCTTCAAGGGAATTAGTAGGTTCGGCAGAAGGGGAAAATTAAACCCCAGATACATTGGACCCTTTGAAATCTTAGACAAGATTGGTACCACTGCCTACAGACTTGCACTGCCCCCTGAGCTCTCCCGGGTTCACAATGTGTTTCATGTATCTATGCTGCGCAAGTACAATCCGGACCCTTCTCATGTCGTGGCTCATGAACCGCTTTCACTCCGAGAGGACTTGTCTTATAAAGAAGTACCGGTCAGTATCACGGACCGAGAAAGCAGAATACTCCGTAACCGGGAAATATCATTTGTAAAAGTCTTGTGGCAGAACCACACGCCTAGGGAGGCGACTTGGGAGCTGGAATCAGAATTTAGGGCCCAATATCCTCATCTGTTTGATCAAGAGTAATGAGGCAAATTTGGGGACCAAATTTCTTTATGGGGGGGAGAGTTGTAGCACCCGGAAAGGAGGAGGAAAAAAAAAAAAAAAAAAAAAAAGGGGGGGGCCACGTCAGCAGCCACGTCAGCAGCCACGTCAGCAGGCCCGGTCAGCAGTCTCGGCCAACCAGGGCCTGCCACGTGGCAAGATCGCGTCACTCCGAAAGGAGCCACGTTGGCGATCCGCGTGGGTGCGATCCGACGGCTCAGATCAATCGCGCGATCGGACGGCCCAGATTCAAACGCACGGACGGCCCAGATTCAATCAAAAACGAACGGCCCAGATTAAAACGAAATGAACGGCTGTGATCAAAAGGCAAGGGGTTATAAATAGAACCCCCACACCAGACCAAAAACCCTAGCCGCCAGCCGCTCGCCGGAGAAGACGAACCAGAGGCCGACCGCCGCCGCCCGCCACCACTCGCCGCCGCACCGGGGAAATTTCCGCCCGCCGATCGAGGTAAATTTCATACCCCCGACTCGTTTTTCCCCGCTGATTCCTCCTATGGCCAAATCGAGGCCGAAATCCCGGCCAAACGGCCGGAATACGCGGCCGAAGCCCAGCGGCGCCGCCGCGCCCCCTCTCGGTTTTTGCCTCCGACGAGGCCCTTCCCGGCCTCCGTTCGATGCAATTTTTATATCACCGTGATCACCATTCTTTTCTCTACAGGTTGACCGGAGCCGAATCACCAAAACACGAACCTCGCCGGAGAGCCGCTGCACCCGAGAGCGCCGCCGCCGGTAAGCTCCGTTTTTCCGTGATTTTTTGGCCCCCCGAGGGCCCTAGGGTTGTTTTCTGACAAGGACCAATGCGAGCGTGGCCGAATTCGGCCGAAAACGGCCGAAAACAGCCAACCCGAGGCGACTTGCCGCCGCCAGCGGCGGCGCCGTCGCCGGAGCACGGCAGAGCCGCCGTGCCGGAGTTGCGATTTGGTCCGAAAGGGGCCCTGGGCCTAATTTGGATTTTTTTTTGGAACACGTGCAGGTACTGTTAGTGTGTTTCAGTTCCCCGGGAAAAATTCAGGGAAAATTAGGGACGGCCTGCAGGCGCACTGTGAATCGTATTCGGATCCCGAAAACAAGTAAGGACCCCTCACCCTATTTCCTATCACGGTATTAAAGTTCAAAATGATAAAACGGTATTTCTTGAATTAACGCATGTGTGAAATTGCTTAAGGTTGCTAATGGAGCCCGAGTCTAGTGTGATTGATGATTTACTGTTATTTGGCCTGTTTACAGCTTTAAATGCATTATGGGGTTTGATGTGTTCATTTTACAGATTTGTATGCATGTACTACGTTTTTATTAATTATGGGTTGAATGACTGAAAAACTGATACTGTATGTTGTCTGTTTGGTATGAAGTACGATTTGCTTGTTTAAATGTGAATTGATGATGCTGATTGAGGAAAAGGAAAATGAAAGATTGTGTAGACTGATAATTGTATTATGGGGGTCAGCCTGACTAGATATCCTGGGAGATGGTGGACGGACCGGGTCCGTAGGGAACCCTACCGGGATTGTGGTCTCACATGCCGGACGGGGTATGGAGATCTTATGGTTTTGGCGCCCATACCGGACGGGGTATGGGGACGGCCCGTTTCACCCTCATACCGGACGGGGTATTGAGGTTTATGGTTTTGGCGCCCATACCGGACGGGGTATGGGGACGGCCCGTTTCACCCTCATACCGGACGGGGTATTGAGGTTCATGGTTTTGGCACCCATACCGGACGGGGTATGGGGACGGCCCTGGAAACTGATTATGAATGTTAAAGGTTAACGGGTAGCGGAACCCCTATGGACCCCCACGGATACTAGTAGGCTGGTAAATGAGAAAAAGATATGTTGTACAATGATTGAATTACAAGAGGCGTGATAAGTGTTATGTTTTACAGCTTAGATTATTAAATGATTATGATAATGTTATTGTTTTTCTCATATTGTTTTCATAAATTCCACCAAGGTAAGTGGATGGTAAAAGTTTTATTATTGATAAAAGGTTTTGTTGTAAATTATGCTCCATTGGTCTTTTTGTGTTTTTCTACCCACCTTTATCTCCGTGACGGTGAGATATCGTGATGTTCTTACTGGGCTAGTGTAGCTCACTCCTTAATTAACCATTTCAGATCAGGAAGACATGGTTCCCGAGCCCGTTCCGCAGGAGGACGACGAAGGGGATGCCTAGAGACTCTGTAGTCATACGCATAGTTTATTTTCGAGTTTTCTTTCTTAGTTAGTTTAACCTTTTATATTTTAAGTACGTTTTTGGTTTTTCGTGTAAGGGATGTTAACTGAAATTTTGATCTCGCTTCCGCATTCGATATATTTAAATACTCATTTCTTTTTAATATTTCCGGGGCCGTTACAATTTTGCAAGAACTATTGATTTTTTTGTTTTTTCAAAATAATTTTTTTCTATTTATTTGAGCGATATAAATTAAAAAAAAATTCTCAAATCAAGTTAAGTTTTTCTCTTTAAAAAAAATCGATTTCTTTTTTTCATTTGTTAATCAAATATACATATTCTATTACATTTTATATTATTAATTGTACTTCTTCCTCACTAAAAATAAGTACTTTTTCAAATATATTTTTTTTTAACACTTTTTTCATTTTAATTAAAATTTTCTTCTATATATTTTTGTTAGTTTTAGGTATACAATGTTTTCTTAATTTTTATTACCAGTTAATTTATTTTTACTCAATCTCATTAATGAGTAAATTAAAAATACTTTAGTGATTTTTATTAATTTTATAAAAAAACTTACCTACAATAAAAATTAAAAATAGTTTAATCTTAAATTTTATATTTTTAATATATTAAGTCTTATATCAATTTTTTACATTTTCTTTTTAATCCGTAGTAAAGTGCGGCTATTAGCTATTAACTCGTCATTAACTTATTACTTAAAGTAATTGAAAGCAAAATTAATTAGAAATATAAGGAAAATTAATTAATCCTAATGGTCTCAAAAGAAAATAACCGCTTCTTATCATGGTAAAACTAAACCCGCATAGTATGATCGGATTTTTCCGGCAGCCGTATGTGGAGAAGTAGGTCGTCGTCGACTTGTATCATGCAGTTTTCTAGTACTAGCGGTAGAGAAATTATAGAGTAGCGAGTGGACTAAAGAAGGCTCAAGTAAACAGTGTGTGCTTGTACAACTGCAGACAAACGAACCTAAAGGTGCGGAACTCTGTCACAGAAGGCCCAATGAGTATTCTCACTTTCTTTTAAATCTCGTACACTTTGTTAGGTTGCTAAGAAAATTTCCAGGAAAATGAACGAAAACATTACTCCGTTTTCAGTTGGTTGATGGCCCTTTGTTTTCTCAACTTCCGGAAATTGTAATATATTATATTGTTCATTTCGGTTTTTGAGCTACCAAACGGGGTATTTGCTATAGAGCTTTATTGCTTATCGTTTAAATTGGGTTTTAGGGTGTAATTTGTTTGGTGATCAGATTTCTTTGTCTATAATTGCTATCCTTTCTTCCATTTTAGTGTTACCGAATGTTGCAATAAATTTTCATGGTTGCTAAAAAAATTGGTTTATCAGATTTTAGGTTGGAATAATTATAACACACTCGTAGAATTCATTTGCACTTTCTTAAAAGATACTTTCAGCCCTTTTGATCTTGTTCCGAATAAGAACTCCCACTTGGTTTGGTTTATCTTTGCTTCCTTCTCAGTGCTTTTTTTTATTTCAGTTGCATTTTACCTCAAGAACTTCTGATAACAATGTGATTTACTTCTTGTTTAAAAAAAATTAGAAAAAAAATTGAAAAAATTGGTGAAGCTTCATGGTGTTTATTGATTGAACTTTTTGCTGTCAAGTTTATACACAAAGCTCTGGGACCTGAAATTTAGCATTTTTAAGGAGTTTGAGCATCCATGCGTCCGAGATATGGATTTTTTGTTGTTCCTTTCTTTGCAGGAACTTGAAGATATGACTACTCTCCTATTGACTATCAAACATTTTGAAGAAAGTAAAACCAGCAGGATAGATAAAAGCATCAAGCAAGAGCACCATAATCGATTAAAAGCAAACATGCTGGAGGTAATACTGCCTTTTGCTATACCTTGCTGTCCAAATTAGTTGGGTGTTTATCATGTGTTATTTGTAACACATTCCTTCTAATTCCATGCTACCCACTAGAAATATTACAGTTTTAGCCAGTACTAGACATGAATGATAAAGTGCTAATTGAAGGTTGCCTGTTACTTGTGGTCGCCTTTAATTCACAGTATATCTGAAGCAAGAAGTAGTTTACAGTGTAGACTGCTTTTAGCCTTTGAATAAGGGAAACAACTTCCCCTGTCTACAAAGGCTAAGAAATTTTGCACGTGCTTCTTTCTTTTGGCAGTATTAGGGGAGACCTAAACTAAAGAACATAATACTGGAAGAAAATATTGACTATTATGTAAGAGGGATCAACAACAAGATTGAAAGGCATGTCAGGATGATTAATAGAGACCAGGTTCTGCAAGTGGAGTCCTGATTGGTTTTGGCTTGTCATAACCTTATAAACTGAAGGCAGATTTCTATTTCCTTTATGTCTTTAACGATATAAAAAAACAGTTAATATGGTAAGGCTACAGGAAGAATAAAAGTGATACAATGATGAAAGAGTGGAGGAAAAATATAAAGAAGCGTATGAAGAAGCTATATTCTTTGTTTGTTCAGTCAGAATCCTGCTAATTATTTACTTCATTATATTTCATATTAAAGCAGAGGAATCTTATGTCTTCAAGTCGTTAATTTGCACCAATACTCTTGATGAAGAAATAAGCAACTAATCCAACAGCCTTTCCATAATGACTTGGATCAGAAACTGAGATTGTCCTTTTCTTATCACTTACCCTAAGGTTGAGGGCATGAAATTTGAAATTTTTTGTTTCCAATTTTTATTGACCGTTCATTATTTCTTTTTTTTTTTTCCCTCCCAGATTTATCTCTTTTTGTTATTGTTGTTCCATTGGTATTTAATGTTGAAGTCTCTAATCTAGAAGAACTAAATGCACCAGTTAAAGAAGTTATTGAGTTGCGGCAGGAAAGGGTATGGCTTTCGAGGATGGTCGAGCCATCTGGTATGGAAAGTGAGAGAGCAGAAGAGTGGTGATAGCTCAAGAGAGTAGTAGAGTATCATCATGGAGGGAGGCTGAAAAAAAGTCATAACTCTGAGGTAGATGGTTCTTCATAAACTTTTGGGCTTTGAGCCCATGTACTGGCAGTTGTAAGGGTCATAAACAGGATGCAATTAGTGTCATAAACAATATGCAGTTTTTCTCAAACTAGGAATCAGAAATATTGTAGTTATCAAACCCAACCAACTAGGCACGCTTGGTATCGACATGCCCTGCCCTCTTATTGAGCAACTATTGACATCCCTTAAATGAAATTCCTCCTTACGGGCTTTTCCATGAAATACTCACAAGGAATCACGTCAGGCTGGTGAGAATGGTTGAGGTTGTAAGTGCAGATTAGTTGATCCATTATCTTCTAGTAGATTTTAATTTTTACTTCTAAGAGGATGAACTATAATGGCATTTCCATAATGTTGGCAGCCCACTTACCAGTGGGTTGCCCCAGGCATCATATGATTACAAACAAAACTTATTTTATTGCTTGGGATTGTTATGTTTTCTGGGCTTCAATAGGTTATATGGGCCAGATGTACATTTACTTCCTAAGAGAACCAAATATCTGAATGTTCTGTGAAAAGACAGGTAGAGACTTAGGTTGAGATCCAGTATCAAGTATATAGGTGAAGTAATATGACAATGAAAACTGCTTCTCAACGTGTATCCAGTGCCAGCTAGATTATTATGACTTTTTTCCCTTTAGTGGGATGAATTAGTTGAGACAACTTCGACAAAATTTATAGTCTAGATCAACTTCGACAAATACAACTTGTGATAAGGATAGGATTGGTTAAAGCATAAGTCACAACCAACTTGTTTCATAGTCTCAAAATTCTCATTTCTTCATTATAATTGAAGATAAGGTTGGTATTTGCTGTTGATAATTTCTTTTTGAGTAAGGAAAGAAAAACCAGGTCTGCCAGCCAACTTCACTGCCAACAAATGATATAAGGAACTTCTCAAAAATTGACCTTCTCAAACTTAGTAATTTCCTTGAAAAAATTTTGGCCTGAAGTCTGTCTTCTCGTATCATTTTGAATTATGATGGTAGTGGAATTATCATATGAATATTTAGAAGACTTTCAAGTTCCACTTCTCCCAAAAATGGAAATGAACCCTTCCTCGCTCATGTAGAAATAAGCAAGAAACTGATATGTTTAAAATGACATGTTAAAACAAATTCGAGGACAATGGCAACTTGTAAGTTGTAACATCTAGAGAAATCAAATGCCTACTGTCCCCCAAATAATATATGGTATTGTCATAATTGATTAATTTTCCTTAAATGTGGTGCATCTGGCTGAAGACTTCCCAGCACTACTATGTTTGGTGCGTCACTTGATGCAAGGATATGGATGGGCATTTTATTTCCATCTACACCACTTTGTTAAATGTTATATGCCTATTTTATATCAGTCGTTAGCGAAAATTCTTCCCGAATGAAAATTCCCATTTAAAAAGTACTATTTCTGAAATTTTGAATAAAAGAAGAGAAAATTGTTCCAGTGTTAGGAATGGTTAGAGAAACTATACAGTTTGTATTATTATTTTTGCTATTTCAATGAGGGATGAGAATGGGGGAGTATTAGAGGAGGTCCCAGAACAATTTGCCTGTCCAATTAATAGCTAGGCTGTGGAGAATGATGATCAAATGTGGACACTTCCAATTCCTGAAATTATTTCTATGTTGCTTTCAACCCAAAAATAATTAGTTTTTTTACAAATTCTTGTAGCTTCATTTAGTTATTTATTTGTCTGAAGAGTTGCCCTTCGCCAATAATACAAGAACACGTAGCAGGCTGCTGTAGCAGACACGTGGAAGTCACAAGCTGAAGAAGTGGGGGCTGAACGGCTAAAGTGAAGATGCTATGGACCTCCAGTATTGAGTACAGAAGGGTTGATGAACCTCCTTCTCAGGTCGCTGGCAAACCTGCTTGGTTCCTCCCATTGGCTGCAAGTACCAAGTACGTTTTCCTCTTTATCACACTGACTGATGCAAATAATGAAATTTGAGGGGGAGATAGAGGTGTCTACTAGATGGGTGGTCCCCCTCAACTTGCATTGTTCATTACTGTTTGGTATTATGGGCCTTCGTCTAAGATAATGGTCTAACACTGGATCCCAGCTTATAATTCTATATCTGTGTGAAGAGTGACATGGAAATTTTTCATGGTAGTGATAATTTGTCTTTAGAATGAGAGACTTTGTACCAGTGTCAATACCAAGTTTTTGTTTATTGAACAGGCTTCAACTTTATGTGTTTCTTGGTTGGATGTCAAAATGGATAGTTACTTTTTTCCCTCAGCACATGGAACCTAAACCCCTATGACATCAGCGAGCATAGGGCTCTCCCACCACCAAGTCAGCAACCATGCATGACGGGAAATAAGCGCTCTTACCACTAAATCTGCATGCATAATGGAAAATAAGTGACTGCTAAATCAAAAGGTGGTAAAAGTATCTTTCAGAATAGTTGAGATTACCTTTTGATTTGATAGGTAGTTGAATAGCCTGGACGGTGCAGATTTCATCCCACAGTAATAAACCATGCTAACTCCGCATAGATCCAACAAAATGGTAACGTAAAAGTCATAACCTTTTTATGTCGTGACTAATTCTATATGTTTGAACTTAAGTCACATTGCAACAGATATCAGATATCTGTCATAATGTGACTAATTCTATATCGTTAGATTTTCTCATTTAGCAAAAAAAAATATTGTCTGGTTAGGGTACGACTTTTTCCTAAAAAATTTGAATGATACCAAATTTATAAAAAGCCATATTTGATAAAGAGGTTTAACACTTTTTTTGTTGACAGATTTGTATGAATATATAAGCTCATGATAGCTGAAGGTTAACTGATATGGTGGTGTGACAGTCTAATGTCCTAACGGGGCAGTAAATATTTTTTTTGGGGGGCTAGATCATGCCTTGAAAGTTACTAAAAGAAATTCAATGTGTTTATGATTTGTTTACTGAAATGGAAGTGGTCCTTCAAGCTATCAAATATCTAAAATTGACTGTTACCAACCTCTGCATTATGGTTCTTCATAAAAATTATTTGAAGGTTTAGACTGAGAGCTTTCAGTGGGTTCACTTTGGGCCAAGGCGGCGGGCCCAGCAACTCAGCGGCCTAATTGGATAAGCATCTTGAGGTACGTACAATTCAACAATCTCAAGCATTTCTTTTGTATTCAAGAGAAGCTGTATGTGTGTGTGTGTGTGTGTGTGTAAGGCAGGCATACACATATACATACAGTATTAAGGACGTCATCGTGAAGGGGGCTCTGAATCCCTGGGCTGAAGATGTTGATGGTTGAGAAAATAAATAGTCCGGAATCAAACCATCACCAAAAGAATGTACATAAATATGGGAATGCCCCAGTTCTTGTATATTCCATTTTCTTCTTTCTTCTTGAGAAGAGAGAACAGAGAGCATCTTTTGCCTACACTATGGCCATGCTCCCATGTGCCATCCCTTCTGTAAAGAGATGAAAAAAAAAATGGGAAAGTAGTAGTGCCTTTGTTTTGACATTGAAATGACATTGTTGGGGACATCTTTAATATTTGTAAATAACCATAGGATATAGACATACTATGGTTGGTAGTTAGGAAGAAGGTGCAAGAAGGTGTCATAGTTCTGCTAGTCCTTTTGAGGTCTCCCAAACTAAGTAGAGACGGAGACCGAGAGAGGGACTGAAGAGAGGGAAGAGGAGAGATTTAGTAATAGGGACTATGCTCACTTTCTAGGTGATTGATCAAATGTCTCTTTCTCTCCTGCCCCACATATCTCAGTCATGTTGTCCTCAGCCCACAGTGCTTTTAGATGCCTATTCCATCTCTCTATGATTTCCGTCCCTTTCAGTGCCCTGTAGGTTAAAGAAGCTAGCATCATCAAAAGTCCCCTCCTTGCCCCCACTAAGTTGCGGCAATCATCATCGCTTTTTCCTCCCTTGGACAACAATTATAAACAAAAAGAGAAATAACAAAATAAAATGAAAACCTCAACCTAATTTCCAATGATTAGTCTAATATAATTAGTTACTAAATATGAAGAGTCCTGTTTGCATGGTTCCATCAATATAGGACTAGACGTTAGGAGATAGGGCTTCTTGAATCTTGACTTCTTTTTGCTTTTATTTTCCACGGAATATATCCCATTTCTAGATTCCTCTTATAGATAGATACATATGTGTTTGGTGGGAGAACAGGCTGTGTTATTGGGTGAACATTAATTAAATGAGTCTACGTTGTAAGTAAAACATGGTTAAAGCGTAAAAAGGTTTGCTCAAGGAATAAATAAACAAAGTTCTGTTTTTTTTTTTAAAAAAAAAAAAGTAAATTAATAAACAAAGTACTGTTTTGGTTGTTCGGTCTATAGCACCTTTATACATGATGTTGATGGATGATGGTAATGAAGTGGATGGTGATGGGGAGAGATGGCTAAATCTCTATAGTCCTTGAGGAGTAGATTCAGTGTTGCACATCTGTATCCACGATACTTAAGGTTGTAGACCATCATCCGGATCGTCCATTGGACTAACTTATTCTAGTGGGTGATCTTTAAAAGTTGATTAATCACTTTCTGTTTGACTACCTAAAGCAGATTGAACTGGTACATGTAGAGATGCAATTCTAAGCTGCATTATATGGTTAGATACTCAATAATTATTTCTTACAAATATACATTGATGTGTTATCTGTTTTATTATTATGGAATAAAAACTGAGATGACCAATAAAATTATGGGTTAATTTATGAATATATCACTATTAATGAAAAGAATATCTCATCAAAATATAATGGTGGGACAAGATAATTTTTCACTCGGTACCAAAAAAAATTAAGCATAGTTATACTCTTTTTATATTAGGTTCATTAAAGAAAAAACATTTGGAAAGTTATTTTTTCCTTTCTTCTAATTGAAAACCGTCGATCAAATTGGATAGAAGTAAATTGATTGGTGGTGGGTGATCAGCCCATTGGATGGCCTAGATTGAAAGGGAGGGTGTGTGTACATTAAGAGTGATGTTAGGTTTTGGCTTGCGTCTCTTAAATAGAGAGGGTCTCTCCTCCTTGATGACAAGGAAAAGTTACATGTAAATGTAGAGGGAGGAAGTCAAGGGTAAGTGAAGTTTATGAAGGACAGAAGAAGATCTACAGCATGGAGAAAAGTTGGAGAAAAAAGGTAAGTAAACTAAAAAGGACTGTGTTTCTTTTTTCCCACTTTATTAAATTTCTTTTCCTTTTGTTTTTTGGGTGGGTACAAGCTTTTATTTCTAGGCTTGTGGCTACAATGCCTTCACGTGATGTCTTGGAGTTTTCCTGCGTGGGAAAGTTAGAATCCTCAGTGTTTTTTATACATTTGACTAATTACTTTCCTCCCTCCCCACCTACATTGCCTTTCTCTTTTCTACCGTCCTAAATCTTTAGCCCCCTCTCTCTCTCTCAGGATTTCCACAGCCCGTATTTGTATAAATATTATATATATACATAAGGGTACATACGGACATGTTGCCCTAATCATATAAAACGTGTTTGATGGGTGGGTTCTTTGGAGGAGGTCCAAAAATGATTATCATTTTCAGAGCCTAGTCCTTCTCTTCATCACCAATTAAACACTAATCTAATTTTGTGAGGGCTACCTAGATTCAGCAAAAGTCATGGCATCCAGCTCCATCAGAATTGGTCTTCCACTTTTTTTCTATGTGTATGTGCTGGCTGTACCCCTTCAATCAGTATTAATGGTCAGAAATAAAGGCAGCATATAATCTTAATTGGACTTGTGGAAATTCTGCCCATTACCCATTACCCATCCATCAAATTCTCCTTCTCTCTCCCCACAATATATATGTACGTACACACACTGCCATTAAGGAAAAACAAATAAAGAATGCATCCACATTTTCACATTGTAAAAAAGTTAAAGCTGAAAAAAAAACAATTATATGAGTCAGGCATTAAATACCACTATTTGATATAATTATAATAGTACTACAGTCATAAGAAAATAAAAAGAATGCAATTAATGCTCGTGCATGTCATATGTTTTATGGACTGACTGTATGCTACTGGCATATATATATTTCTATATATATATATATATATATAAGGTGATTAAATTATCCAATGGTTTCCTATTTTCCCATTTGAAAAATGAATTTCTTTTTCAAGTATATGATCATCTTGCTAAGAATTAGATTGTCGCACTAATGCATAGCAGCGCCCAATTGGCTTCACGTGCACGAACTTGCTACCTTTGATGGATGCACAGGGCACATATAAGAAGGATTTTAGCAGGTGAAGAGTTGAGGAAAACAAATTTTGGGAAATGTGGATTCCAATTTTTATGTCAATTTAGAAGATGGAAAAACAAATTTTCTTTAGATGAGATGTTTCATCACTTCAAGAAACACTGAAATTTAGGTCTTTTGGACATCATGAATATATTTATATATATATATATATATATATGTACACATATACTTGGAAATACCCAATCCGTTTCAACAAAAACCTAAGTATCTGAGTTGTAGTGTGTGTTCCTGTTTCCTTCGGAAACAAAAAATCCTAATCAAAATCCTACTATTAAATATTATGAAACATTCCAAAAGAATAATACCAAATGATATGTATAAATATATATATATATATGTCTTTACCATTCTTTGATCCCCATTCAACTTTTCTCATTAAATTAATAATAATAATAAAGCAAAAAACTGTTGGGAGATTTGGGTGCCTGCAGGAGGTGTGCATTATTAGGATATTGTGTTTGATTGTCTTGATAATCAATCTTGGCCAGACCCAAAAATATTAATAAAAAAAAACCCAAAACCTAATTTAGAAAATGAAAAAGTTTGGCTTTTTGTTAGTTTGAGCAAATTTTTTAATAGCAAATGGGACAATGGAGAGGATGGGAGATAGCAGAGATTCCACCCACTTAATGGAAGAAAGGGATGGGCCATTTCAGCAGTTATTATCTTCAACCAGACTCTTGTGCCATTCTTCTCTCCCATACCATCCTCTCTCCATGTGTGTATGTATACATTCCCATTTCATCATATATACAAATCTCTCCCTCTCTCTCTCTCTCTATATATATATATATATATATATATATATATATATCATCACAAAATCTATAAAGGATATATTATTTACATACAAATATAAAGACCATGTTATCATTATTTTATTATCATTTTCACCCATAGTACAAAACATTCCATGACACTGTAAAATGGGAATACATCAAAAATTAGCCGACGATCAATTGAGAATAGAGAAAATTACTTATGCTTAGATAAAGATTGATAGTGAGAACTAAATGTGTTATGTTAACTTTCACTAAAGTTCGTAGAAAAAACTCAAAAGTAATCACATATATTTCATTATTAGTAACTTGAGTTTGATTACTGATAATTTAGTAATGGAAATTATAATACACATTAAAAATATATGTGATTACTTAAATCATTTGTTAAACTTGACTATTTTTATTTAAATATATATATATATATATATATATCTATCTGGACTTGGAATTTTTTTTTTTTAAATGGTTGAAAAAATATTATAGTAATACTTAAACAGACTCTAACATGGTAATAATTGCGTGCAATGCACCAATTTATTTAAAAATAAACAAAATCTTTAAAATTTTAAGTAAAAAGAAAAAATAAATAAATTTGAGAAATTATATTATATATATAATTTAAAAGTTGTGGTTTTTTTTTTTTTTAAGGGATAAAAGTCTTTTTTTTTTTTTTTTGCATTAAATTCAACATACCCAATTATTTAATAATGCATATATAGATATCTAATAACTTAATATAGGTATATATATATATAGATTGAAACTTCATATTTATGTCAGTATAATTAATTATGTAATGTGGGTTGAAATTTAAGTACATAGTTAGCAATATTAGATAATCTAACTTACTTATATTAAGTACATACCCATTTCATAACAATTCATTACAAGTATTGAATTTAATATCTTTAATTTTCTCAAAAGATATAAATGGTCATTCGAAATTCCCGAAAGTATATATTTGTATTATTATATATCATTTAAACAAAAGTATTTATTTTTTTTGCTGTGAATATTATATGACGAAAATATACAATATTAAATGTTGAGGGTCACTTGTGTGCGGGTTGGAGACAGACACAATATAAACTTGCTCATGCACAAATATTATTCATATAGTAGATTCATGTACTATGCCGCAAATTTTTGGACTAGAATAAAACTGTACCCATATAATAAATACAGATATACATATATATATATATATAATATTACAGCTACCCTACTCTCTTTCTCTTTCACTAAAACACATACACACTACCTGCACACAAAAACACAGAATGGTTTGCCTTCGAAAGAAGCCAAAGAGAAAAGTATGAGGATAGCAAAATGTGTCGCCATTAATAAAGGTGACAAACAAATGCAGGAAGGGTTTTCGTCGGAGAATTATAATTTCTATTTCATTTTAGAATTGGCTTAATATAATACATATATATGTATAATATATATATATATAATATGGTTAAAAAAGTAAGAGACAGTTTCTCATGACCAGCACACGGTCAAAGACAAGAGTATAATGAATGGCCTGTCAAAACTTTCTTGGTGTCAGGGCTGGAAGGGTGAAATGAAAGCACTGAAAGCTCCTTTTGGTCATCATATAAACTTGCAGACACAGAAAGAGAAAGAGAAAGAGAAAGAAATGAGAGAGATGCAGCAAACTAAATGAAGTCTAATCTGCCTCAGCTAAAATCTACCATCAAAGAAAAAAAAGTACACTGGGTTTCTATTCGTTTTTCTCATCACCATCATCATCATTCATCATCATCGTCCTCGGATCTCTGTATTACATACCTATATCTACACTGTTGTTAATAAAGTTAATTATTTTACAAGATGGGTACATATCCGTATGCATATACATATATATGTGTATATCAAGTTCAACATATATAGTTTACTTTCTGTCCATGGATTGACATTCAAATTGCAGTGTTTAATGTGACCCAGCCGGTCAGCCCCTTGTTTTAGTGGCTACAGGTCCACATGATCAAAGTTATCTCGCCGAAAATTGGTCTCCGTTCAAGGCTTGTCAAAAAGAAAGACGCTTAAATCTGTCAAAAAGAATCACATACAATCATGTGATTTTTCTGCTTTATCTCTCCCCATATTAGTGGGGTCCTCGCAATTATATATATATATATAGATAGATAGATATAATATAAAGTCATTATGTACAAAACTTTTTTTAATCAACAACCTAATGTGCCTAATAAGGAAACAAATCAAATAATTATATTGACATAATCATGCAGCTATATATATACTTATATATATAAATCTATGCTTATAATTAACTAATTATAAGTTAAGTACGCAAATATGACTGACTGTTTATTAAGAATGGATCTAAAGCTTGAAATAGAAACCATCACACATAAAGCTCAAATTTCTAAACAGTAGCAGCCTATGGCAAGCATGAAAAATACCTATATCTAACTATTGTTTTTCGTATATATTATATATAATTAGGATTACAGTAAAGTGATGAAATGTACATGAACTAAATAGATCCGTACTCTGATGTCCCATCTATAGCCAAGAGTCTGCCACACGTGGTTAAACACTGGGAGAAAAGAAAAAGGAAACTTTGCAAAAATAAGAGGGAAGAGAACCCTAAAATAAATATTGAAGATGGTGGATGGCAACAGAAAGAAGTTTTTTTCATGGGTTTGATTCGTTTGAAATTATATATATGCGTAAATATATATATATATATATATATATATATATATTACTGTCAGAATTAAAGCAGATATTATGAGTAATAATTAGGGTTGAAGAGAAAGAGATACGGGTCCAGTTCTGAGAGAGAAAACAAAGACGATCATGATGGACTACAAGAATAATGCGAGGGATTATATATAGGAGCAATATTGTATATTTGTATGTCAATAATTGTAGTAGTATTGTAGGAGATGGATAGAAAAAGTACTGGAGAGACTAGTTTTTAACGGAGAACCGTTGGGAACAGCAAAGGGAAAACCAAGAGTACTGTGGGCCATGAAATCATTTTGGTTAATTTAAAGCACTGTTAATTAAATGCAGTATATATCTGTAGTGACATATATATGTGTGTGTGTGTGTGCATGTGTGTGTGAAATTTCATCTTTGGTGGGCTTATAAAAGGATTAAGGTGTTGGGTTCTCTCTTCTTTTAAAGCAAGATTAAGTACTGTAAGGTAAAAAAAAAAAGAGAGAGAGACAGAGAGAGAGAGAGAGGTATAATTGAGGAAGTTTGATGGAAGAACATCTGAGTCCATTAGCAGTAACTCATCTTCTTCAACACACTCTTAGAAGCTTGTGCATTCAGGAAAACTCTCAGTGGGTTTATGCAGTGTTCTGGAGGATCTTGCCCAGAAACTACCCTCCACCCAAGTAAGCAATACTGTTAATTACCTGCCATCTATATATGTTTTTTATAACTAAGCCAGCCTCAGAACTATTTATAATAAGGCCATTATGTAATTATATATTTTATGTTTTCTTGTTTTAATTTTTTTGGTTTAGATGGGATATTGGTCAAGGAGCTTATGACAGGTCAAGAGGAAACAGGAGAAACTGGTATTATATATAAACTTAATTTGCATCATTCTATATGATATGGAATCGACCATCTATATATACATATACGTAAATTATTTTTCATCCCCATTTTGCATCTTAATACTGTGATGTAAAATACATGGCAGGATATTGGTTTGGGAAGATGGGTTCTGCAACTTTGCTGCTTCTGCAGCTGAGATCAATTCTGAGGACTGTACTCCTGGAGCCTCCTCATCCGTCTATGTCAACTGTGAATTTCAACACTACCAAGGTCTGCAACCAGAGCTTTTCTTCAAGATGTCCCATGAAATCTACAATTATGGTGAAGGGTAAGTTTACAAAAAAAAAAAAAACGGAAAATGAAAAAAGTAAGAACGCAGACAATTTGATGATCTCTCTCTACAGTAATCCTAGCTCGCTTTATATTCTTTGGTGATCGATTTTAAGTTTATAAAGCAAATTAACTCAAGTTGATTTTGGTTCGATGGGAAGCAGATTGATAGGAAAAGTGGCTGCAGATCACAGTCACAAATGGATATATAAAGAGCCAAACGACCAGGAAATCAATTTCTTGTCAGCATGGCATAACTCTGCAGACTCAGTAAGCATATTCACACACATATACGCATATATATTCCATGTACACTTCTGATGGCTTATTAGAAGGTTGTGATTTCATGCTGCTCCCTTCTTACGGCAGAAATATATGTGATTCTAATTACTAAATATGATCTTTTACAGCATCCGAGGACATGGGAAGCCCAGTTCCAGTCCGGTATTAAGGTATAATATGACAACAGCTATAATATAGTTTAAAGATCATATATATGTATATCTATCTACATAGATCTACTTGTTTTGATCAGAAAAATATTTTTGCAGACTATTGCCCTGATTGCAGTTCGAGAAGGTGTCGTCCAGTTAGGAGCTGTTCACAAGGTCATCTCTCTTTCTAGTTTTCTGATCTATCTCCCTTCAAGAAGCTTTCTATAAGTAGAAATTTATATATTCATAGATTAAATTAGGTAATACATACGCAACAATCATAAGACAATAAAAAATAAAACAATCTTTAAATAAATAAGAACAGACAGAAGCTTAATTCGACTTGAACTCTTTAATCTATTTTCTTTTTTTTTTTTTTTTACACTTACACTAAAAATGATAAATTTGTTTCGATTGGAACCTGAAGGTAATTGAAGACCTGAGCTATGTTGTTCTACTAAGGAAGAAATTCAGCTACATAGAGAGTATACCAGGTGTGCTGTTGCCACACCCCTCATCTTCTGCATATCCTTTCAATGGCGGAGTACCAGACGCATGGCACTTCCCCGCCACCTACGACCACTTCAACCAGCCCATGAAGATAACACCCTCCATGAGCAGCCTTGAAGCACTCCTCTCTAAGCTCCCATCTGTCGTCCCACCGCCACCAGCCGCTCCTCAACCACCAGCTGCCTACTGTGACCCACATCCACACTTCATACCCCCATCCCAGAGGCCCATGGAGTTGATGGGAATGGAGAAAGGTGCTAAAGAAGAGATTGATGAGGAGCAATATAGGGCTGAAGGTGATATGGGTGAGAGTAGCAGTTCAATTTCAGCTTACAGTCGTCGTCAACAGCATTACCATCATCATCAAGACATGAATATAAGTAGCAGCAGCAGAGCAAATCATGGATTTTTAAGTGATAGTTATTGATTAATTAGATTATCATGATTGTTATGTAGGAATTAATCAGGGCTTGGTTTAATGCTGTCTAACGTTGATTAATTAGAATATATATATTAAGCGTCAGTCTGCTACATATATGAGTTTAAGGAGATTATTTATTTGCTTGGGAGCTGTTTGTTAGCGTTAGATTCAAGGTATATACATGATGCATAATAAATTGCCTTCCCCATATTTATATATGATCAGATTCTTCAGGTGTTAATCACTTCATAATTCGTAAATGGATTTCTTATCTTTGAAAAAGAGAACCATAAGAGAAATTGATGAGCAAATTAAAACCGAAACCCAACTCTAAACCCTATCTATTTTCTATAGTATCTTCACTTCTGCAACCTGCAACTTACCCTTAAAGCATTTGACAGTGTCCTTCAGAACTTTTTCAAATCTCCATGGCAAGAATCTTTTGAATGACCCAGAAACCAGAAATATCAGATTGGAATGCTAAGAACATTTTGAATTCAGACGAATACTTCAATTTTTTTTTTCAAGAAAATTGACTTCTTGGTAAATATTCTTGGAACCCAGTTTAATAAAAAATGTTTTTGAGCCCTTACAACTTTAAAAATAATAATAATAAAATAGGAAGAAACCTTGAATGAACTGATTACATACATTTTACCAGGCTTGCGTAACCTGACTGCTTTTAATAGAATCAAACATTAAAAAACACACAGCAATTAAAATTCTGACCAAATCATCCTAATTTGGATCTGAAAAAGATAAAAAGAAAAGAAATAAACATGATTGAGGTGAACGGAGGCGCAGGGTTTCAGGAAATATAATCAAAAATTGTTTCTGGCAATGCATTGGGAGGATTGCTGTCTGAATTTTACCAGATATAAAATTATTTTTAAGTAGAAAAATTAAGTAAAACGTGTTAGCTGTTCGTTCATATGATGGTGTCCAGCTCCCTTTGGGGCTCAGCTTATATACATACTCCATACAATGTCGTGGATTTTAATTCCTGTTCCCCGATCGGCACATGGAAAAAAATCAAAAGCTAATTCATGCCACAAGTACGATACAGAAGAATTTTTCACTTAAAATAAATAAAACTTGCTTGAAAAATCACAATGGGGCGCCCCTAAAATAAGGAGAATTTTAATGTTCTAATACTATAAACGCGGCGTGTTGATGGAAATTGACTTAACCATCTCTAATCAATCAGCCTTTTTTAACGCCCCAATCTTTGAGTCCTTCCGCTCCAAATAGCATTCAAAAAAGTCACAATTGTAATGTTTATCCCTTCCTAATGAAAAGCTGCAGTCTCCTCTGCAAAGTGCTTGAGTAGGCTCTCAATGCTCATTACGGAATGGTCTGCCTTATCTCTCACCCTCACACTAACCTGCGAACAATGAATAAATGTAACAAGCCTGAGAGATCTTGTATAAGTATAGACAGTTAAGAATCCAGAAATTTGACATTTCAGCCTAGAATGGCCATATAGGGAAATCCAATCAAAAGAGCCAACTAAAAGAGGTGATTCATTTAAGGAATTAAAAAGATTTTTCCGAAATAACCTGTCCAGTTTTGGCCTCCTCTTCACCAACAACCAATATGAAGTTGTACTGTGCCAACTGAGCTTCTCTAACCTAAACACAGCAAAAAATTCAGAGAGAGCAATCTGTAATGAGTAAAGTAACAACATTATAGATGTAATGATTAAAAATAAAATGGAAATGACGAAAATGTGGCTGCAGAAGGACAGTAGTGGGAAGAGCATTGCAAGTAGTGACCATGCTACAGACTTTCTCCATCAATCATTCTTGTTTTGCAGGCATATGCTACATTAAGAATTTGATGCACAAGAAAGTTTCTTGAATGAAAAATCACCCTCAAATTGGACATATTTGCAATATGCCTACAAGTATGGATTATCATAAAATCCCATATTCAAAATGATCAGGTTTGCAGCTTTCTTTTATCCTTCCAACAATGCATGATTTCAATGTGCTGGAATCACACCACTCACTTCTGGGGCAATGTATTGTTCTAATGAAGGCAAACCAACCAATATAGATTTTTTTTCCCTTCTAAATAAAGGAAGATCAAAGGCTACAGACGTGGCTACTTCCATCATCATAAGTGATACCATAGCACTAAAATGTCCGGTTTCGGCCATAACTATTATTTTTTGCCCCAGTTTGTCACCAGTTCCACTAAAGCGTGGATTTTAAGATAAGTAAACATCTATGCTCTTTCCATAGAAGGCACCCAATATTACATAGTGAGTGCCGTCAGCAGACCCCATTCGATATTTAAGAAATAAGATATTATATATGTAATTTAACCAATAAAAACTAATCTTAATGTTATAGCTTTGGTATTTTGACTCCATTAAACATAATAAATTAAACACTTGACCACATTGGTCGTAATGAAAGATGATTTCATCTCATTCATCTATAAACAAGGACAGCATTTTAGATTTATATCAAATAGTGTTTAATAGTCAAGAAACCATAACATTACAGAACTCAGAATAAATATAAACGGTTTGTAGAAGTACCTTTTTCTGGATCTTCCTATCTGTTGTATCCACATCAACATAATAACCAGCAGCATAAATCTGATCACGCACCTATAGAAATCAAACAAGAAAGTCTCAACATTATTTGATTTCTTGATCACAAAACACAAGCAGCACAAATAAGCACTTTGTATTCTTCACTTCCCATACAAACTAATGGCAAAAGACATCATGGAATAGACAGTAGCATTTTATATGCTTCATACAAATCACCGGAGAAACAGAACTGATGGCATGAAATAAACTTGAGTGAATTAAACCAAGTCAATGATGTGACAATTTATAACAACCATAACTAGCATAAAGGTAGCGAGTTTCAGAAAAGCATTCAAAAGCAGCATCAAACTGCCTCAGATTATAATTAACAGAGAAAATGACCACTATAAACAAATTTTTGAACTTATTTATGCCATGATTCACCACAAGTTTAATGTTTCGACAACATTTACTATATGAATTTTATGGCATCTTTCACGAAATAGACATTACCCTTTACAATTCTGCTCTGTGAGAAGAGCAAAATCAAAAAATGGTAAAACAAAAGTCCATTATCAGCCCAACACAATGCCAAAGACCACTATGACGTAAGCACGAAATCAAAATTCAGAAGAAACAACACCAGCTCTATATTACAGCTCCAGAAGGTTGACAAGAATAAAGTGAAACTACCTGTAGAGCATATGGCTGAGATTTCTCCGAGACAGGGCAAACAACTGCTTGACGTGGACTAAGCCAGAAGGGCCATTTCCCTTTGTAATGCTCCAATAATATAGCAAACATTCGTTCAACAGATCCCAGGATGGCTCTATGTATCATAACAGGCCTCTCTCTCTTGGCTTCATCTTCTGCTGAGTACTCCAACTTGAAACGATCAGGAAGTTGGAAGTCAAGCTGTAACGGTGGACGAAGTAATAAGTCCGCTGCAATAGAGATAAAAGCAGGAAGCCCAAAAATAAATCTTAATGCTATAAACCTGCAATGTAGCACATTGGAATTTCCTATTCAATGCATCCGACACACTGATATCTATTTTTGGTCCATAAAATGCCCCGTCTCCTTCATTTAGCTGCATAACAAGACTAGAACATAAGCATCAATATATAGATAAATGTGAGACGTCAACTTGAAAGATTATCTGACAAAGCATGGCACAAATAAACTGAAGCATAATCACAATGCAGTAAATGTCAATCAAAAGAAGCTTATATTCCTGCTATTTACTACTAGATTTGGCCTTCCATTACTTCATCCAACAATTTTATGGAAGGTTTGATCCAACAATTGTATAAAATTCAAACCAGCTAAAGTACCGTACCACAATCAAGAAGAGCCTAGGCATTATCAACTCAGCATACATGGTCTTTCACATGCCCAAGCAAAACTTGTAAGGCAACATCTTTAAGCACACATGTTGAAATGTATGGCAGAAACTAAAACATATAAGTCAACAGTGATGGCAACAGAATGCTTCCAAAATAATTGCATTATATTGCTATAAAATTGAATAAATTATGCTGTCATTGAATGAGTAATGAAAGGTAACAAAAAGAAGAATTTACCTGCCATGGCTTTCCAAACTCATTCAATGCTTCTGTAAGGGCGGCTTCAGCTCTTTCCCAGGTCACCAAATCACCTAGGTACTTCTCTGGCCTCTATAATTCAGAAATTAGTAGTATAAACATATGTCCTTAGTTCTGCATATGCACAAATCCATTATCTTTTCTTCAAGAATGAATTCCATATAACCAACAAATAGTTATCACCTTCTCAGAATAATACAGAATAGATAAGGTTTAGATTACTTAAATAGATTAGAAATTGTAACTCTTCAAATATAAGATTATTGTACTCTTTGAGAGTCTGTTAATTTTAGGAGTATATTCATATGGTATCTACTTCTGTTTGGTTCACTAAAACCTTTTCTAGTTTCCATTTCTAAAATTTGTGTTTATTCGTATGTAAAAGAATTTATGTATGTAAATGGTGTGTTTTTGTGGAGAATCAACTACCATTAAAAAATTTCTTTTTTTATAAAGTATTTAGGAAACATTAGAAACAACATTTAAAATTTTCAAATTTCACAATCAATTTCATTATTATTTTCTTCATTGTAACAAACTTATATGTTTTTATTGAATGAAATATACAAATTTAGAAAATGAAAAATAAAAAAATACCAAATGGAACCTTAATTTCCCTTTTTTTATTAATAACTAGTTTTTTAAAATACTAATTTTCATTAATAATTAGTATTTTCTAGTTTTATCCCATTCAGAAAAAGATTACGTAGGAAGCCTTAAAAATACCTTTGTAATCTTACTTTTTGAGACAGCTCAATTATTTAATAAAAGATCTAGAGAATTCTCTCATTTTTATGATCACATGATGCTATCAAACCCTAACCAGGTCATTTAAGACTTATTAAGTACAATGTCTAGAAACTATGATAGCTAGGTTATTATCCCAAAATCCTTAAATCAAAAAATAAGTGATTTGTCCTATACCACAGGACACTCCACAGCTGTTCCTTTTGCATGGACGGACTTAACAAAAAAGTTATCCAAACCCTTGAGCCACCCAGTTAATCATATTATGATTGAGACAAAGCCTCATAAATTAGCTGATCATCCTCCATTTTAAAGAACAAACAGAAGAGTTTTTATCTCCAGAAATGCAAATAAGTTGGGACTTCTTTTATAGATAAAAGAAACTAATATTCATAAGGCACATACACAAAGCTTGGGAAATCAATTTTTGTTAGATTAATTTTTAATCAAATCCTATTGCTTTAGATTTTGTTAGATTTAATTGCAGTTCCAGTTGAACTACAGAATTGTCCTTGAAACACACTGAGCTGGATATGGAACTTAATGATATTATCCACATATATAAAGACATGGCAAGAAAGAGTTGAAATACCTTAAACATGATACTAACAATAAGCGGGATTTTTTTTTATGAAATAACTAACAATAAGCAGATTAAGCTCAATAAGTCAAGTTAAATAGACAGAAGAACAATATGTGTTCACCACATTCAGATCATACCGTTGATAGCTTCAACTCATATGTGAACCCAAATACAGTGTATGTATAGTTGATGAACTCTAAAACACCCCTCACTTCATCTTTTATCTGAAAATCAGATCCATAAATTACATATCATGGATAAGGTAACGAAAAAAGCATTCATATTAAGATGACAATATATATGAAACAAAGTGGCCACCTGAGACTCTCTGCAGAAAATATGAGCATCATCCTGGAAAAGAAATGAAAAAGTAACTTTTGTCAAAGGATAATTGAATTTACTAAATAAATGGTGACATCCAGAAGATTAAAGGACTAGTGAGAAATCATGATAGTGTCTAGGTGGCAGAGAAAACCAGCCAACAACCCTAATATCAACCAAATGGACCACATCTAAGAAGAGACCTGCTGAAATCTCCGGACACGAGTTAATCCAGTAAGAGCACCACTGGCCTCATTCCGATGCAAGACGCCGAAATCAGCCATTCGAAGAGGTAGTTCTGTTAAAACACAACAAAAATGAGGAACAATTATGTAAGACAAGGAGACTGGCAACTGAATGACCTCAGAACTAAAGTAAAAAAGAAATAAAATGGTAGATTTGCAAAACTAGAGGATTATGTTTTTTTAAAATAAAAAAATATGTATGTATTCATTCACACACACCAAGAGAGTGCAAACTCATGTACAAGAGTTTTACATATCAATCAGAATGTCAATAAGGTTCCGATGTCCTCAAAAGAATAAAGAGGACGACCTTTAATAAAAAAATCTAGTCTAGAACCAACTATCTTTAACCTCATCAAAATTAACCTCTATATACTTTAAAATTCTCCTATTCCTTTCCTTCCACACCACCCAAAAAGTAGCAAGGGAAATAAAGCTAAGATATCTCCCCCCACCTTCGATCCCTTTCCATGCTCAAATTTTCCTGCTCACCGAACCAGCCATCACCTTGTTAATACCTACGAAGCAGTAAGCAAGGGTCTATAGTCTAAATGCAAAAAAGGCACCATTAAAGAAGATGATTACATGACTCCGCATCCTTTCTACACATATAAGAACCATTCACCAAAACATGGTCCCTTCTGATCAGCTTGTCCAAGGTTAAGATTCAACGACTAATAGCCTCTCAAGCAAAAAAAAAAAAAAAGCGACTTTGGTTGATGCACTAACCTTCCAATGTCTGTAAGGAAAGTCTCTTCCAGTAGTCTCTCTCCCAGTCAAATAGTGGCAAAAAGATCTTATAGAGAACAGCCCTTTAGTATTAAGACTCCAGACTGGACTATCTCTACTCCTATTGATCCTCACTCTTGAAAGGTCAAAGAGTAATGTCTCATATTCCCTGACTTCCCAATCATCGAGGTTCCTCATGACCTCCACAAACCATTCCTCAAACCCCACAGTGTTGAGTAGGCATTCTATATCAAGGCATCTTACTATAAGCAATAGTGTATATATGAGGAAACCGATCTTTGAGAAGGATCCCCCTTGAACCAATTGTCATACATTGCCAGATCCAATTCCCCATACCAATCCTCCATCTAATGCAACTACGAAACTGTCTTCTTCCCATGCATATTTTTTTCCATATCTATTGATGTGAGGTTCAAGCATCAGTTAGTGAACCAACCTCTTTCCTCAATACCATACTTTGCATCAATCACCCTCAATCAAGGACTACCATCTTCATTCATGAATCTCCATAGCCATTTCTAATGAAGAGCACTATTAACCTCCGCCATAGATCTCAACCCGAGCCCACCAAAGTGAAAGGGTTTATTAACCTCACACCAAACCATAAGATGATATCTTCTCTTCTTCTCGGAATCACCCCCATAAAAATTACATTGCATGCACTCTAGTCTCTTAGTCATACACACAAAAATATCATGAGAGACATGTAGTAAATCGGAATATTGGTCAACATGATGTGAGCTTGAACCATAAAGAGATGGATGGCCAAGCCCAAAGGCATGAAGAAGTTAGTGTCCAAGAGATAAAGCTTGAAAAAGATGGCGGCCAAGAAATCCCAACCCGCGGCAAAGCCCAACACAAAGAAAAGGATTTCGGCCATAAAGGAAAATTTCTCCAAGCCATGAAAAAGGAAATTTCCTATGAGATTTTCTTTCCTAATCCCCTGGGAAATCTTCTCCCTTAAGAGGGAGAATCGGCCTAAGAGGGGAAACTCATCTAAAACCAATTGCAATCTTGGAGAAAATGAAAAATCCATTTAAGGCACCAAATCACGTGGGAAAATGAAAGATTTGGGCGGCCATAATGCTCCTTTAATGGTCAGTCCTAAACTTCCATTTATTCTCCTCCAAATTCTTCTACAACCAATTAAGATATTCCCCATTAAAAAGTTTCCACAAGGGAAAATCTTATCTAACTTATTTAGTCAAAATTTTTTAATTTTTATTAATTTCTCATTTAAGATAAAATATAATTTCTTTTGTAATTTATACAATTAATTTATGATATTTATTTTCTTATAAGGCACATGACTTACTTTATAACTATAGTCTTCAATTCACTATTGAAATAATTCAAGTTTAAGATAATAAAACTACAAAGTTATTTTCAACAAGAGAGACGTTTTCAACCTTCTCGTTGAGTAAGGAATTTGATCAACTTATCAAGGAATATGTTATGGCGTTTTTCTAATTTTTTTAAATTTTTCAATTACCTTAGTTCCTATCACTTTATTGATAGCATGGTAAGTAGAGAGCGTTTATTAAAATTTAAGTCTTTAATGCTTTATGAGTGTTGTGTAAGTTATGTATTACACTATTAATCTTAAGTTCTGCATCATTTGGTATCAAAGCTTAGACTCTACATAAACCTTACTATCTTTTGAATCAATGTATTCTTCATAACACATATAACATACTCAAAGTTGAAATATCTATAGCATGTATGGGCACAACATCACAATGTACTTTATCAGTGTATCGCCCAATATAGAAGAAAAGTAATACCTGCTTAGTCACCTTCATCTCTCCACAATCAATCAACCACTGCAACTTATAAGGGTGAGAATGGCGCATGTACGTCAACCCAAGTTTATCAACTAGGTAGTATTGGTAAAATCGGTACAATTACCCCCATCTATAATGAGACTACATACCTTCCCATTTACAAGGCAACGAGTATGGAAAATATTCTCTCTCTGCTTATTTTCCTCCAGTTTGGACATTCAGAACTCTCCTAATAACCAAAGCTTCCTTCTGAGCTAGATATTCAACACTTTCCTCCACATCCCCCCAGTGGTGGCATCCTATCATTATCTTATGTATGTTATGAAGAATGTAACGGCCCCGAAAATTCAAAATGAAAAGTGTATTAAAAATATCAAATGCGGAAGCGAAGTCAAAAATTCGATTAACATCCCTTACACTAAAACCAAAAACGTGCTCACAAAATATAAAAGATCAAACTACCTAAAGAAGAAACTTGAAAGTAAAAGCTACAAATATGACTATGGAGTCTTTAGGCGTCCCCTTCGTCGTCCTCCTGCGGAACGGGCTTGGGAACAATGTCTTCCTGATCTGAAATGATTAAATAAGGAATGAGCTACACTAGCCCAGTAAAGACATCACGATATCTCACCGTCACGGAGGTAAAGGTGGGTAAAAAACACAAAAAAGACCAATAGAGCATAATTTACAACAAATTCTTTTATCAATAATAAATCCTTCACCATCCACTTACCTCGGTGAAATTCATAAAACAGTATACGAAAGCAATAACATTATCATCATCATGAAATCATATATAAACTGTATAACATAACACTTATCACGCCTTTTGTAATTCAATCATTACACAACATATTTTCCTCATTTACAGCCACT